AGAGAGAGAGAGAGAGAGAGAGAGAGAGAGGAGAGAGAGAGAGAGAGAGCTGATGTGAATTTAAAATTTCCCCAACACGCGCCTCTTCAACGGTGCGCTTGACAGTTTCTTCCTTATCACCGGTGTATAAGCACACTTCAGTATAATCTTATCGCGAGATAAATATTTCAAGTTAAGCGGTAGTGGCTTCTTTTCCAAATCGATGAAAATAATTCGTAACGCGCGACTCACTGAGGGCAGGTTTTAAGTCGACGAAAATTAGAGAGAGAATTCGCGGCACACGCTTTGCAAAGTGGTTACACGCGAACGCGTGAAGTAAGTTTATTTTCGTGGAGCACGTGTTCGAAAGGAAATGCCATACACGAGTTTCCACTTGGCGACGCTTCCTCCTGGTGTAATTGTCACGTGCCCGATCAACGAGCCCCGTCGGTTCAAACCACTTAAAGCACTCCAACCGAGCACTTCTCTTGCCCGGCCCAACGTTGCTTTTTTACGAACGTGAAACTGTATCGCGCGACTGTTCCATCGTCGTTTATTGCCTCGTTGCTCGATCACACACGTGTAACTTCCCCTCTCCTCCTCCTCTCCTCCCCCGATCTCGATAACGTGTCATTTCGTCACTCGCTATCCTTCGACATCGTGAGAAAGTAAAGTAAGTTTTTGTAACCACCATTTTTGTTTCCTTCCTTTCTTCGTATGTTTTAACTCAACAACTCGAGACGATTATGTCCGACGAATTTCTTATATAATCGATTCACACATGAAATTAACGTATAAAATTTTTAATATTTTATGTGTCTTTTTACGTTTTAAAGAAAGAAAATTTGTTAGATTAATTTCTACATATTGTTGTTTCGCGTTTATATATTTTATAAAGCAATTGGCAAGATGCATTCTCAAGACGGGTATCACGCGGTAAAATGTCTTTCTTATTTCGTCTTATAATCTTTCTAAATTCTTGTTCACGTAACGTGCTCTCACATTCACTATTATTCTTGTTTTTTCGCCTCTTCATTTCTATCTTTATCACTCGAAAACTTTGAAAATAATATTCCTATTGATAGTCAAACTAATGCAGTCCGATCTAATTTAAAGATAAGGAAATCTACTTGACATTATATTATTCCACACTTGATAAGATTATACGTAAAGAAGTTAGGAAGTTGATATTCTAAAAAAAATCAATCGTAAATAAATATTGTCGTGGTTCGAATCCAAATGTTGCCTGACAGTCCACCGTTCGAAGGGTTAAAATTCGAGGGAAGAGTTTTTATAATAATAAAAAAGAAAAAAGAAAAGAAAAGAACGCACAAACCTTTTTATTAGACATGCGTGAGCCGTTGCGTGTGTTGTTGATGTACTAGCCTGCCCTGCTCCTGTTCCCACCAGCTGACGACGTCCATGAATTCACCGGATTCGGTGATCTCCTGCTTATAATACAGAGCCCCGGAAAAGGTTTCCGGGCTTGCCGCGTAAACGGTGGCTGCGCCCTCTTCGCTGTCTCCGCCGCCGCTGTACGGCGACAGAATTTGAGGCTCGAGATTCTCTTCGTTTTGTCCGTAATATTCGGACGGTGGAGACGCTACCGAATTGGGGGAGAGGCGGGAGAAAGTTTGCGCGTTGGACGACAGTGTCCTCGGTTCCAGATTCTCCTCGTCGCCTATCGAGGACGCGTAGTAATCGTGAGGCGATGGGACTGCGGTCCGATTCGGTGATAATCTGCAAAATTATTCGGGTAACCGATGGTAAAGTAGAGTAAAAATAACGATCGATACAAAGTGGAGAAATAAAGAATTGGAAAGAAAAGGAACTTACTTGGTGTTTTTTCGTTTCCCAGCCTCCTCCTCCTCCTCCAATTGTTCACCGTCCTCGTCCTCGGCGGCCAGGACGTCATCCTCGAGGGCGAGCCTCTCCCCAGAACCGTTGTGACTGGACGAAACGACGCTACTGGTGGGCGATGGAACGCACTGCGTCGCGGCAACCGAGCTCGAATCGTATTCGACACCGTCAGCCTCGGCGAGCAACCTTTGAAGTCCCCTAATGTACTCTACGGCCATTCGTAAGGTTTCTACTTTCGACAATTTCTTGCCCCTGTCCCCGTATCCCGCGGCGATGTGGCTCGGAATGTGTTGTCTCAATGTGGCGAATCCGTTGTTCACTTGTTTCACCCGATTCCGTTCGCGCGCGTTCCTCCGAGCGACGGCAACAGGCGGTGGTTGTCCATTCTTCCCGTGTTTTTTCAATCTGGATGGGTCGTAAGGCGGCAGCACCGTCGCCGAATTCGCGTTCGCGTTGTTGTTGTTGTTGGTGTTGTTGTTGTTATTCTTCGGCACTATCAGATGCGATTGATTCCCGATTATATTGCTCTCGTTGTCCTGCAGAGTTCGCAGCAGCATCAATTGTTCTTGATCGTTCCCGTTTATTTGCACTCTGTTACAGAATACCGTGACACCCATGGCAGTCATCGTGATCCGGTGTTCCGTTTTAACGGCCGAGCAGGAAAGCGTGGTACGCTGAATGGAACGATGATACGGTGTGCGGTGTGAACGAAACGATCGTTGGCGAAATCCAACGTTCTCATCGGTCTTTCTTTCTCGCAAAGGAACGCGCAAAAGTCGTTCAGCGTGAAATTTCAACGAGAGCTACGAGATATTCTCTTTTAAAAAATAACAGGTTTCGATTGTGTCGATGCGCAGAACGAGTTTGTGTCGTGAGAATAGCGAAGTGGACGAGTAGCTTATCGACTCTAATGCCTTTCGAGGACGAGTCTAATTGATAGACTTTATAAATAAAACTCGCTCTCCCTTCGAAAGACAAAGATGATTATCAGAGACAGACGGTTAGACGACTGTTCGATTTGATGTTTGTAACTGGGTCAGAATATCTCGCGAGGATGTCGAGTATCATCGATGCTTTATTATTATAAGTAATTATCTCGTTTCTTCTTCTCATTTAGAAAAATATCATTTCGGCACAAAGTTAAAACTCGTGTTGAATTTTTAAATGAACGAGTAACGACGAATTATATCTCTTTTATACGGAAAAAAAAAGGAAAAGAAATATCGAAATTCTTCGTTTCTTTTACGATTTATTAACAGGTACGACGATAGCGATGATGATCTTCTTTCGCGATTATCTTTCTGATCGAAAAAGAGATATTATTATAAAAAACGGTTTAATAAGAAACGGTTTGCCATTACGATCTGTGCGACGAACGAGCGGCTTTGTCGAAGCTTTCGATATTCCACGGGTTCTTTTTCTACCAAATGACGAAGCTGATGACCCGAACCAAGATCCAATTGTCTCGTTGTCGGTCACAACGACTTAAGTAAAGCATGAGGTCACCGTCTATTCTTCTCCGGACGACGGTCGTCGACTCCTTGGAAATTATTCCTCGGAATCGAAATTGTAGTTATTTTACGAAAATATTAAAAAAAAAAAAAAATAGCATATCGAAAAAAGCTCGACATTCGACTCTTCCGTTCGAGTATCTACGTTGTTACGTGCAACGATAGCGTTTGAAATTGTACGTTGTTCGAGCGTCGCGTGACGTTTCAATTAGAGAATCGAGATCTTTGAATCGTATTATCACAATATGACTGAAGGAATTGTATAGCACCAGTTAAATGCTCTTATTTACAAGGAAAGCACTTTAACGATATCAAATAGAGAATTCAAACGACCTTAATGATTTATAACGGTACGAATAACCATCGTTTATATTTTAACACTTATTACGAATCGATTTATCTATTTCGACTATTAAGGCACTTATAACCAATTTTCGCTGCTCTGCTCATAAGACTAAGGTCACTCGTTACTGAAAATTTAAGGCACGAATCCTTTCGGGAGTTGAAACGGTCAAGTATCTTGAGATCAATATTTCGACAATGGTCGTCAATACTTTTGGAGCACCATACGAACTTTCTTCTTTGGCGTAATTTCAACATTAAAATCTGTCTCGATCGGTAGCTCTTCTCGAGGCGATGGTTGCAACCACGATTCTTTGAAACTAGTCGAAAATCGGATCTATTACACAAGTATAACTCCATTCAGCCGGCAAATTTATCACATCCAGCATTCGCTACCGATCAGAGTAGCGTCGTTTCGAACTGGACCATTGCGTCGCGGCTCGCATCGCGTTCGACTATAAAATGAGTGTAAAACGTGGACGAAACGTTGCCACCCTTGATATCTCACGACGAAATGACACAGATAGATGGAATAGCGTACAAGAGGGAAAAGGATAGAGAAAGGACGAGATAGTGGGGGGAGTTTTGAGCACGCGCCGTAGCCAATACGGCGGTCTAACCAAACCAAACTAATTTTAAAGAAATTAATTTAACAATCCCGGTCGATAATTATGACAAAATTTTACAAACGTCCCCGTTCTTTCACTCTTATTTTTCACACGAAAAATCCATAGATCGATTGTATAAAACAAGCAGAGAATTCACTCTCACGTACAGAACACACTCGCGAGTCACGCTTTTCTTTTTCTTTCTCGTTTCAAACGGATCCTATCGATTCGATCGAAAGGATAAGCCACTCGACAACTGGACCCGAATTCTTGCAGGTTAACGAAGTTTCCTCGACACCGTAGCTGACGTCGTCTTCCCGGTATCCGTCATCGGTCACTTTTTCACGCAGCTATTCCCGGCGTATAGCAGCTCTCGTTTCTGATCAAACCTCCGTGCTACGCACCGCATGGCGTCCGCGTTGAGAATGAACACGGACATCCGATAGATGGGTTAGGTTTCAGCATTTTGCCGCACTATACAGCCAGACGGAGGGCTGGTTTTAAGGGGCGACGCCAGGGGGGAATTAGGACCTACGAGAGACGGAAAGAAGGCGATAGAGGGAGCGAGAAGGACGCGAGGGAAACGCGTGTTGTGCAAAGAGGAAGAGGTGGTGGGGATTTTGAGCACGCGCCGCAGCCCCCTCGTTTCTTCTCCCCCGGAACTGAAAAGGGGGACCGTGCGCGCCATATGCCCGGGGGGAGCGCGTGTGCCAGTTGCGTATGTACTTTGCGCACGTATGTGTTTTTACATCTATGCGACTGCGCGAATGCGCGCGGAACCGATCTATCGTCGAGCAATGAGAACCAGCCATACGTTCTTCATAGCGGTCGATCCTTCGCTACTATAGACCCTGTTATTTCGAGACCTTTGTGAAAATGAATCTGGAGGACACCCACTGCAAGAGAAATGTTCCGGAAATTTGCGGGGGTGACTTTTAGAATAACGAGCATTCGTTCGTGGAAATTTTCTATAGCGATTATACCGAATATACATTTAATCTTAGCCAATACGATACGTTAATTATTGGATAAGCGATACGATTATTCCAAACTATTGATTTTATTCGTCTCGGTATATAATACGTGTATCGGAAACTCCGACGCAATCTGGTATTTGTGGATTATGTAAATCCTTTAGGTAGATATTTAAGCCGCGAAAATACATTTTGTGATCTACATTTCCGAGTAGCAAAACCGATTACACTTGGCCGAGTTTACATATCAAGTTTCCCTCGCCAAAAAGATTCGAGACGAGAGAAAGGATTATTTCACTGATCCGATTTTCTCCGATCCCTTTTGTGTATCAACGTTGACAGTCGCGTATAACGAAAACAATTTTTCAAAGCATCTGTCGATCATCGTTTGACGAATGATAAAAAGAGAGATATTTTCGTGATTCCATTCTCGGATTAAGTCCTTTTGTTTTCTTTTTCTTTTTCTTTTTCTTTTTTTTTTCTTTTTTGAAACGAATTCAAACGCGTGCGCACAATTTTCAACGAATTTTGCGGCATAAATAACGAAATTTATGAATCGATATTAATTCACTTTTCCGCGCTATGCGTTCCACAGTGCAGAACAGGAAGAACGACGTTCGGTTTGCCGCGGAAGTTTCGTGTTTCGGGGCGGTGCACTTGCGAAGGCCGGTAATGTTCCAAGCTTAAAATAGAATTTCCACTACGAAGTTTAAAACTTGACCATAACCGAGGAGGAGGTTTCATTTTTATCGTGGAACCGTGGGATTGTTCTTCTTAACTTATAATTAATAATAAAATTAATAAAACTTCGATCGATAGAATTTTTTTTTATTTTTCAATTATTTTTCAATCACGATCGCGATTGAAACGATTATTTTGTACGTATAATTTATAATTAAGACACGAGAGGACGGTTTTATTAAAGGTGGTTTCACTCGTAAATTGCGATTGGAACAAAAAAAAAAAAGAAAGGAACGAAAGTGCATCGAATAAATTTTCTCACAAGGGTTCGTTACTGTATCGCAGGAACGAAAGGTTCGGAGGGATTTGGCCTAGATCCAGTTTATATTCTGTATACCTAAGCCTGAGAGCGCAACCCAACCCCGTATAATGGAGGGCGCGATCCAATTTATAGTGTGAAATATACGGACAACGTGCAATCCCTTACGGTTATCTTATTATAATAACAATTTGCGACTAGGGATTTAGCGTTAGAATTTATGTGAATTCAGTTCATCCGTTGTGTGAAAAATAAACCTCTCTCTCTCTCGCTTTGAATCATGGATAGAATTGAAATAGAAATTTTTTCCTTTTCTTTCTTTTTTTTTTTATCAACCTTCCGATTGTATTTTCAACTTTTAAATATCACTCAAGAAATAAAAAAGTATTCTTTAAACAACAATTTTTTCGCTATATACGTCCATATTCCAATTTCACATTTCGCAACATCGAACGTTCCGCAACGTTCCGTTATCTCAAGAGATAATCTTGCTCGCAAACCATACGATACAAAATAGCCGGCCAGTTTTTTTCTCTCTCTTTCTCTTCTCTCCTCTTTCAGAGCCTCTTCCCGAGACCCACTCTCGAAGATCCGATCTAGATCTAGTTTTGCGCCCTGCGCAAACCAAATCAGGGAGAGAATCTAGATGGATTCTGCGACGAAAAAAACGGGGAGGTTGGGGTACAATACAAAAAGATGCACGAGGGAGGGGTTTTCGATTCACGGAGAGGAAATCTCGAATCTTTCCCTTCCCGGCCGGGAAAAACGAAAAGGCTCCAAGGATTATAAGCGGGATTTAAAAATCCTTGACTGGCATTGTCGGAGGTATATACAGAGCCGCGACACATTCGCCCGTTGGCCTCCTTCGCTCGGCTGGTAACTCGGTTGCATCGAGTAAGGGGCGATAAAGTTGTATATAAAGTTATCAAAGTTATCCGAATAATCGTATCGATACGCGCTCGGTTTAATAATAATAATATCCCGAAATTCCGTGATATACGGATTCCACGTGGTGCGAACGAGGCCTTAGCCAGCCAGAGAATTGGATTCTCGATCGGGTCCGTTTGTCCCGGCTACGTAAATCCGGATGATAATAATTTATCGAAAGACCCTTTTTTACGCCCGTGCTCGGTTCGCCCTTCCCACAGAATCTTTTTTCTCCCTTCGTTGCGCGGCCAGACCGTCCCCGGTGGCCAAGAATTGCTCGTCTCTCTTTTTGCAAATTTTTCAGTTTCCTCGAATATCGCGTAGCTTTATATTCGACGGCTGGCTTTCCGATTCCTTCCTTTTCGTCCAAATTAACGCTCTTTGCGCTCCAACGGTGCGCTCTCGGCCAGCATTCGGTTCGATGCGATAACACGAGAGGTGACTCGAAGGGCACCGCGGCAATTCGAACGACCACAATGTTTATTTACGTTTGGTTTTTTCACAATATCGCCTTACAAATGGATTCTTCTAAGTTCTTTACGTGTAATCTTATGAAGCGTGGAATAACATACTATGTCGATAATTAAATTTTTTTATCTGAAATTAGATCGCAAATCGAACTACATTTTCGGCGTTGGTCCGAGTTTTACAGTTTCGTGGCGATAGAAATATTATTTTCAAAATTATCGAATTTATTTCTATTCGTTAAGAAATTGACGATGAGAGAGAAGGAAAATAGACATGTAGTATAAGAAGATGAAAAATAAGAATAGACAGTAAATGTGAGAGCACGTTATTGGGATTGCAAGATTTGTAACATTTTATCGCGATACTTGCCCTGACAAACCGAGGATGCATCTCGGTAATTAAATTATTATTAAAATATCGCACAAAAC